TAAAAAGTATTAAAAAAGATTTTTTTTTATATCATAGGTTTTTTTTTTCTTTAATTATATTCATAATAATTAATAATGGGTTTGTTGCTTAATGTATTCATAGTGTTGCTGCCAGGCCTTGGGTGAGTTAACCAGAAGGCTATTGGTAAACATGGCCCAGATCCAGCTATACGTCATGCACTCAAGGATATGACTCCGATTCAGATTGAATATATCAAAGGAGCTATCGGTCCAGACATAACATAAAACCTGCTTGTAAAGACAAAACATTTGTAGCTGCAAGAGTGAAACATATAGAAATCTCAGGCAATCAATCAAATATAAACTCATAGACAACGCACCTGCTGCTGTTTGCTGCCATTGTTTTTGAACCTAAGCAATTCGTTACCAAGTTGTTTCTCCGCTGACTTGATGAATATTGTCTGGTACACAAAGCACATGGGATAGATCAGGGCCACACATAGGCTATAGAGCAGGAAACACAGTCTATGATGATCATAGAGCAACAAATGCAAACTAATCATGCAGTCGTTGATTTGCTGGCTTAACGCCACCCACACAAAGGGGCGCAGGAGCACTTCGAAATGATGCCTCAAATGGAACAAATTCACATAGTGTTGCACCTGCTCCTTAGCGATGATATTGCTGCGATGTTTTTGCTGCTGCATGAATTGCAGCTCCTTCTCGTAGTAGGCGTGCAGCAGCAGCAAGCCCAAGTGGGCCAAGAGACCCAGGAGAAAAGGCTGCAGAGCCACGAAGAACACGGAAGACCAACTCAGATATTTATCAATGGGAGAGTGAGGCACTATATAGGGTATACGACTGAAGGAATTTCGCTTTATCACCGAGCCACCGACCATAAGCAACTCGAACACATAGACCCCAAAGAGCCACCAATTGATGCGCGGTGCGCAGCCATAGAGCCGCCAATATCTTTTATATATTGCAGAAAAGCCGTTAACGCACTTCAGGCGGTATTTGTAGATATACCATATCAACAAGGTAGCAATCAAATTCTGATACTTGCAGAGCAGAGCACTCGAAAAGTACATCACTACCAGAGCTCTGTCATCTTCAGTATTTTGCGATATGAACGTTAGCAGGCGCATTAGAAACCAAGGCAGATACAGAATCCCAGTTAAGATTATCCACGGACTCAGCCAGAGGTAGTGCATTAGTGTGATCAGACTTTGCAGCCCATTGCGCCGCTGGAACTTGCAACTGCGCGGCCTAAACCTGTAGATGTTGCAGCCGAAAATTGTACTCATCAACGCGAGAGCGCGTAATGTAACCGTCAGCACGGACATGACTCCACTGAGTCCTGTCTCTCGGTTGGAGTGCAACGCCACGTGCCGACAGTGACAAATGACCGGCCAGCCGGAAATGCTGATGGCTAAATGTTCAGCTCATTTCTTTAATAGACCAGGCATCGGGAAATGTGAAGAGAACAAGTTCGTGAAAAAATCTATGATAAATTATAGTCAAGAGATGGGACAAAATTGATGAGACGTCGCACTTTGAATATTCTCTACAGTCATAAAAAATGCCTGTAAGAATAAAAGGCAACGCTTAAAGAGTTGCGGTGATATTTGAAAGTATATAGAAAGTAATAGAATGAACACCCTGATAAGATGAATATATAAACGGTTTTAACTACAGAGGGGAAAATCGAAGCACGTGCTCAATTTTGAATAACTTTATAGAGCAAATAATAGACACATCAATATTTTAAAAATAAAAAATTTATGGATAGGCACATTGCGTCAACGTCTGGGTATAAGAAATCATAATGTAGTAAGGTTTGTCAAATTTTTAATACCCCTTGATATGTGTTATATATGATATTGTTAATATTATTTGGAGTAGCTGTTTATTTTGAGTTGTTTTTTGGTTAAGTAACTAAAAAATTGTCAGAAAAATGTAAAAAAAAAAATCCTCAAAAAAATTCTTGGAAAACTTTTTCTAATAAAACTATACAAATATTTAGCTTGCAACTCATATATATTAAATGAACTTATATATGATATTGAGCTGGACCTGGTTTTGCAATCACTCTTATGCAAATTCTGCAAGAATAAAGTGCTTAGCAAAAGTTGCTTTGTCGAAATGCAGCTCAATTTTCAATTCTTTTTAAGCAAAGAATTCGATACAGCGAAATAAATAATAATTTAATGGTAATGAAAAAAATAAAGCTGACATAACGGTTTTGGTGAATTCAGGTTCAACAGAGGTTCGATGCCTTCAGTGCTTAAGTTTCAGTTGATCGAATGTCTATAATTGATGCAGGAGGTGATTTATCGTCAGAAATATTCTTAGAAAACCTTTTCTTCTTCTCATAAACATTTTTATATGTAAAAAAAAAAAAATTGTTTTTAACTAAAATAATTATTGAATAATTTTTTAATTTTATTTATTTATGTTATCCATATTTATGAGTTATTATTAATATTAAAATTTAAAGTAAGCTAATTGCTTATTCTTCAAGTCTACCATGTATATGTATATGTGATGTATGTGTACATGTGTGACCATCACTCACCTGTCTTGGTCTTGTAGCCGTAGAGTTCCAAAACAGGAAAGCCATCGTTGATAAACCGGTAAATGTGCTGCCACTTGTCATCTTCCTGATTGGACTGCAGCCCAGCCAAATCGGGCAGCACTTTGCTCTCAATCAGCTTGGCATTCTTCAAACTGCCATCAATTTGCCGCTCTGCGATGCTGCTGGCTGTTGTGTCACTGTCAGCAGAAGCTGCTGTTGCTGTTGCCGTTGTTGCTGCCGTCGCAGCTAGCAGCAGCAGCAATATAAATGTTGCTGCCGGCACTTGCAACATTTTGTGTGACATTCAAGTTTTGTATGTTCTTTTTTTTTTTTGTTTTTCGTTTTTGTTGTTGTTAAATGTGTTTTAATTGTTAGCACTTTTCGAGAGATTTTTGTTTTGCTTGTCTTGCACTTGCTTTTATTTTGTTGTTCTTCTCTGTTGTTGTTTTATTCAGTTGCTGTTTGCTTTGAGTTTCGTTTTATGGTACTACGATTTTATTCATTTTCGCTTGCAAATTTCTTGCGCAGACACTTTACATAATTGCCAAGAGCTGTACAGAAAGGAGAAGTACATGATTCTATAAGTATGTTTTCATGAATGTATTTTTTCTCTCTCAGCGCAAAGCACTTTTGATTAGTTTTCAAAAGTTGTGATTGCGGCTCCTTAAAATGCGAGACATTGCCGTTGAAAATGAAGTGTTTTGTATGCAAAACACAATCTTCTAGCTTGACTATATGAACAGAATAGTTTGTGCCGATCACGATTCGATGTGCAGCTATATACACATGTACATATATAGATATGTATAAATACATGTACATATATTGGTATCTATTGTGACACAGTTACATTGCAGTTTTGACCATATTGGGCAGTTGGCATACCGGAGCCGAAATTCCCCGAAAAAAATAAAGAAACCAGTTTTTGAAATCAATTTTGTGACAGTTTTTCCAGCAACAAAAGTCTCCAGTAATTTTGTTATTTTTTCTTTCTTGCAAAAATTGAGCTGGAAATTTTGCGAAGCTTTCGGTAAGTTTATTTGTTATTTTTTTGCGTATGCTGGCAGCCAAATAGGATAAACAACCTTATAATGTGCGACAATTTGTTTATTTGCTGACCTTTGCGCTTAAATCTGATCGCATACAAGGCTGACTGACAGTCAGCTACACAAGCTACACGGATATATCTACAGCCATACATCTACACGATAGCTAAATGTGAAGAAAGTAAATTAATTTCAATTGAAGTTGACAAACTAAGTGACAAACTACGGCGTAAATAAAACCAAACTGTGAGACAAGCACTTGGGCGGCAAACCCAGCGTATATACAGAGCTGATGAAAATCGTATGCAAAGCGCTGATATCTAAAAGAAAATTTATCTATATATTCTTCATATTTTTGTTGTATTTTTAGAGCACACTAAACATTTTTCAATTTTTATTAAATTTGTTATTCTTTGCTAGTTCACAGAATTTTCACCTTTGGCGTCCATTTGGCGAACCGAACCGAACCAATTCCCGTTTCGTACTGCATGTCTGGGCGCGTTTAGCGCTCAACCGGGAGCCCAAAACGGGCTTAGCGCAGACCCAGTTGGAAATGGGATGACACACAGTCATGAAACCTGTTTGTCTGGCAATGCCATTTAAAGCGCTTTTATGTATCTGATGCATTAAATTGTAGTTTATACGTTTTTTATATTTCTTTTTTTTTTTATGTAAATGCAGTTTATTTTTCTTTATTATAATATTCTTGGTAAATTTTGCTTACATTTATTATATAATACATTTTACATATATCATTTTATTTTATTTTTTTAAATTTTCATTATTGTTTTATAAGCTTCCAAATTTGTGGAACTATAAGAAACTAGTTTTGGCTTTAAAATTAAATAAAAAACTACTTTGTATGTATATTTTCAAAAATTTTACTTTATAAAATAGAATTAAATCCTTATAATTCCAATTAAATTTATACGAAAAAGAAAAATATTAAAAATAATAAAAAATAAAAGAAAGTTGATAGATATTTTTTTTTCGAATTTTCGTAATTTGCTTTTTACATTTTAATACATGTTTTTTTTTATTATCTTCAATTCTTTGGAGTATAAAAAAGAACAAAAATTAAGTCAAATAAAATGGTTTATCTTTTTTCAAAATGATTTTGAATTTCATGGTAATATTTTATGTCATTCTTAGCAGTCTAAATTTTATAAATTTTATAAATTTCAAACAAGTTCTGCAATTAGATCGAAATTCATTTGCATAGCTTTTCAGTGCATGTACACATTTCCCACCGGGCAGTTATCACTTATCACAAACGCTCATTATTCATGATTATGCTTTGGTTTTTATGTGCAAAATTGTGCAACTGACGTCGCGTCTCGTCGCTGTCCCGCACTAGCATGCCCTGTGCCTGCCCCTCCCTTTACCCTATATTGTGTGTCTCCCTCTCTGGCTCTCCTCCTCTCTCGCGCTTACTCTCCCGCCCAGTGTCTGTCAATTGCTGTGATTATTGTTGTTGTTGGTAAACGGACAGTGGAATCGACGCCGGTGTCCGGCAGTGTGCTGCATTACAAAAGCAAAATTACTCAGAGAACTCAAACTCGAACTCGTAGATCTGTCGAATTAACATTTTCGGCTTCTTTACTGAATGCCGACTAACTAACTGCCTTATAATGAAAGTCTCGTGCAATGCTATTTATTCTCTTTTTTTTTTCGCTTGCTCGTTTCGTTTTGATCTTTGTTGGGCATTGGAATTGAAAACTGACTTTAATTGATATTATTGTCAGGCGGATATTTTATTTTTAGTTTATTTTCAATGGGCATGAGCTGCACTTCATATGCATAGTGGGCGTTGATGACTATCTTGATAGATATAAAAACGTTTTATTGCAGTTTGTATTGGAAAATATTTACATATAAAAGAAGATCCGCGATTGTAAAGGGCCATTAATAGAAGTGGGGAATTCTAGAATCGTCGTTTAAAATTAACTGTTCATAAGGCCTATAAATTGAATAAACAAAAACTTTTTTTTTTTTTTTATCAACATCAAATAAAATTATTAAATATTACGAAATGCAGAAAATTATAAGTTAAATATTGATAAAAAAAAAAAAAAAAAAAAAAAAAAAAAAAAAATTGGCCTTCTAAATTAAAATAATATAAACGATTTCGGATGCCAAAGTTGAAAATAGTTTTGTCTTAAATAAAAAAAATTACTTTAAATTTTAGTTGACATATTAATTACTGACATTTTTAATTACTTTAATTGTTATATAAAGTCAAAGTTTTATCTGATAAAAAAAGCAGCTGAAGCAACCTTTTATTTCAACCCGGATCCTCGTGACTTTAAGCATCAATTAATTGATCTAAGTGTATTAATATTTATGAGTTTAGTTTCATATCAAATTAACCAATTATGAATAACTATATAGATTTTATAAATATGTACAGTTCCGTTCAACTATATTGATTTGAAAAATTCTGCATATATTTTTTTTCTCCTGATTTATTATTCTCCCCGATGATTAACCTTTTTGTTGATTCTAAATAGTGAACTGAACTTTAAAGTAAAGCAGTTAGCATATGCTATAAAAAGCATTAAGCATGCATAACTGCATTACCTAAGAAAAAACTAAAGGTAAGCCTGAATGCTGCAGCAAATTGTTGTTAATTGTCTAACAGCATTTGCGCAAGCATAAGCGGCAAGTATTTAATTATAATTACTTTCGCGCGGAAAGTTAGCGGTATTTGCTTAACTTGCGTTTAGCACGTTATGTGTGCGAGTGTGCGTGTGTGTGCGTGTGTGCTGCACGTATGATTAAAAAATTCTTTTGAAACAATTTTCATGAGTTTAGCGCTGCAAATGCCGGTAAATCAAGGAGAGCACGTACACTCGCACACACACACTCTCTCCCACACACACACACACTTGTTATTAATGTTAAGCTCAGGGAGTGTGTAAGTGGGGAGGGAGCTGCGAGCGCAGCATTTACCGTGCTGCAAACGGGCACAAAAAACTACTCAACTAAGCAAAGATTGTTATATCTCCAATTTGTGTATCGTATGAAAATGGACAACAGCTACATATATAATAGTACTGCTATAGCTAATGCTCTCACTACTGTTACTACTTTTACTATTACTATTACTACTACTGTTACTACAACTACTACGACTACTACTACTGTTAGAGGGCCGCTACTACAAGCAACAAGAACAACACAACAACAGCAGCAAGAGCAGCAGCCGCAGCGGCTTTACTGCTGCTGTTGCTGCTTTCGCTGCGTTTGTGTATCCAGAGTGCAAACCAATTGAAATTAATTTGCATAATATTCTATATGACAGTTAGCTGGGAGATTCAGCAATAGAATTATGAGGCCCAACTGCATACTCTATATAGTGCTTATTCTGTATAATTCACAGTTTATTGCACTTGGATTTTCTTGCACAATTTTCTCTCGCATTCACATTTCCCTGCCAAGTACACACGCACATACACACACACATTCACTCACCCACACATAGAATATATGTACAAATGTATATATTTCATTCAAGTTTTTAGTTGTTGTTCATGCGCATTTGTGGCACCTACGTTTAATTAGATTAATTTTGTTGCACATATATTATTAAAACATTCGTTTTTAAAGTTTGTTTTTTATTTCAATATTAATTTTATTTTGTTGGCTTGATTTTTACTACGCAGAGCCTCGCGCGCCTCCGTCAACAAAATGATTGCGTCTGTTGTGCCGGAAAATTTACGACTTATTGAGAAGCTTTAAGCGTTGCTAGACGCAGTCGTCGACGTTGTCATCAACGGGACTCCTTGTATAGGGTTGCCAGGGTAGTTGACGCCAAAAGAGCTTCGTTTGGAAATAATCATTGAATATATTATATTTACATATATCTCAAAATTTTCAAAAAGAAATTGCTTATTGGATTTATTTATTTGGTTAAATTATTGTTTATTTTCAACTTTAGAATAAGCTTTAAGCTTAGACCGCCGTTAGTCTAGACACATTGAATGTAGTTAGCTTTGTCGTAGCGGCGATTTAGTTTAACTAAAGCTTTGTTTTAGTCTGGACAACAACCGGCCAAGTTGCCAGCAGCAAATATATATTTAAATATTACTCATACGCATTGTTTGTATGCCATATTAACGAAATAGTGCTTAAAATAATGTCTCTAGTATTTGAAATACGTCTTTTACAAGTATGTGGAATGGATATAGAGGTGGGGGTAAATTTTAACAAAAACCGAAATTATATAAAATACATATAAATCCACATTTAAAATTTGGAAGCTCTAGTTCTAAAGGTGTAGGAGATATAATTAAATAGCTAGCTTTCGATAAGATTTATTTTTAAAATAAAATATCGGGAGTAGTTACCGATATTTAGGGAAAAATTCGATATGCGCGTGACCTAGGAAAAAAATTTCAAGTCTCTAGCTCTTACATCTTCTGAGATCGACGCGTTCATACATACGGACGGACGGACCGACAGACAGACGGACAGGGCTAAATCGACTCAGCTCGTCGCCCTGATCAAGAACATATATACTTTATGGGGTCTG